TGGTGCTTTTGATGACACTTTAATACTGCGACAATACGGAGCATTACCACTTTGGTTAGATCAGAGCATCTGTAAAGTTAGTAATGATTGAAATCATAGACCACAGAATAGAAATGGACATGTTACATTTTCTGAGATTATTATTTCAATATTTTGTTCTTGTTCAATTGAAAACGCAAATAACTGAAATAGAAATATTCGTTTTTTCTGATTGTGCTTTCAGCGGAAACGGTAACTCGTTAGGGAATACAAATGTACATTTCACTTAAGCGAATTGAACTTTGAAATGACGCCATTCATGTAAAGTCAATAAAGCTAGGTAAAGCATTGCATTTTATCGCAAACGGAACATATTCTTACTTTGCTTTTGGCCTTGAGGTTTGTCTAGAAAAATGAGTATACAAAAATGAAAAGTTAAAACGATGAACCCTCTCATCTGTGACTATGTCTGCACTAAAGCCGGTTCAACTGCACACAAACAATTGACAACCACACACAGATAATGCTACTCATCAGAAATTTTGTTTGATTTATCAATGGTGAACTCATTTCGCGTATTCAGCGAAATATATAAAAAACATGGATCGAGATTTTGGTGAATGCAGATATTAAAAACGTTGACGATAATGAATTTTCAGTGGAATAGAAGTGTATAAATATTTAAGTTTGCACAAATGAAAACTCGTGAGTACCAAAAGTCCATCTGCCTTTGTGTGATATCACCAATCCGTGCTCATCTGCAAATCCACTCACCTTAATTGATCGCTGTACATTCGGTCTCATGTGCTAACATGTAAACATACGAACGCTGATTCTGTGTAAAACCGTCTCATTCTGTGACTCAAACAAATAATCGAAATGTCAAAAATTTTCGAATCTAAACACTTACTAGTCTTCGATCCACTTCTATTCGGTTTGGCACGTACTTCTGAAAGATGAGCGTGTAGTAAATATAAGTGAAATGTGTGGAACCCTTGATATGTGAATATCTCTTCACTGATGTCGACTCAGCGGAACCATAACTACTGATCAGTGGGCGTGAATTATGCTACTAGTCAAGCGGCACACCTGTGCATTCGTGCCAGCACGTTGTGTGATTAGGAAGTAATCACTCGCTGTCGCAATGGTATGAATGACAGAATGATGTCGTCGACGACTTTAGTAGGTCATTTTTAAGTGAATGCAATAATTGATGTAGAAGAATCGTTTTATATACTGTGTTCATGAAGAAGAATATTTCTCAAACAGTCAAATAATTTCACTGATGCTGTTTGACCCGGTCAAAATGGCGCTGATCATTTGGAAATGTCATAAACGCTGGAAGTTTGAGCATATTTCAAAACATAGAAAGAGGATATTGCAATCAACGTCATCCGATTCTATACACCTACCAATCACTACAAATACCGTAAAGATCGATTCTTCAAAATGCCGCAGTCAATCTTCGACAAATACTTATCACATGATTTGATGATTCTATTTGGAGAACTTATCGCTAAGGTTTGAATGAAAAACACTGAATGTGATGTTTTAATTGCACGACATGAGTCGAGAGTAATTAACGAAGTTTGTAGGAGATTTGCAAACCTGTGTGCCCTCAACATACTGATCATCGTCGGCACAATGTTTCCACACAAGCGCATAGACAAAGCTACATGAATTTCATTAAACCACACTACTCAGAACCAAATCGAACATATCTGTATCAAACAAAATTCAGAAGGACTATGAAAAATGTGAGAACCATGAGACGAGCTGATATAGCCTCAGACCAACAGTTGCTGGGCGCTAAAATAAAACTGGATAATAGGGCAAACAATATCACACAAGTTTAATACATCCTTTCTTCGGGATACCATTAAACTCAACCAGTTCAAGATAGCTCTCACCAATAGGTTCCAGGCCTTGCACGATATACTCAATGAAGAGGAAGCAACATTGGAGAACAATTAAAAAGGGTTCATGTAGGCAATCACTTAAACATGTCACGAAGTTCCTGGTCACAAGAAGTACCATCTCAAGGATTGGAACTCTGTTGGTACTCTTGAAAAAATTGAAGAAATAAGGAACATGAGGGCAGCAATCAATGTCAGCCGAACAAGATCAGAGAAAGTTAAGGCACAAGCTAAATACACAGAAGCACACAGGGAAGTGAAGAAGAGCATCATAGCTGACAAATGAAAATATATGAAAGATTTAGCAACGACGGCAGAAAAGGCTGCAGGAGACGGAAACCTGAGACAGTTGTACGAAACAACAATGAAACTGCCCGAAAACCATCTTTAACCAGAACGATCAATTAAATGCAGGGAAGGCAAAGTAATCATCAACACTGAATAGCAGGGGAAAGTGGGGATAGTGGAACATAAGGATTGTCGAATCGACCAGCTTCACTAAACCTACCCAAAATCTAGGTACCTTATACGGACCATGCAATGGATGTTGTCCAACTATCAATCGAAGAGACAGGCATGGCCATCAGAAAAATCAAGAGAGGCAAAGGACCTGGATCAGATAGCTTTCCAGCAGAAGCAGTGAAATCAGACATGACAGGAACTGCAAATAAACTGCACATTCTCCTCAAGAAGATTTGGGAGGAGGAACAATTACCATCAGACTGGATGTAAGGATACCTAATCAAAATACCAAAGAAAGGAGATTTCGGCAAGTGTGAGAACTACAGAGGCATCACTATTCTCTCAATACCAGGCAAAGTCTTCAACAGGGTATTGTTAAACAAAATGAAGGACTTTGTAGACGCCCAACTTTGAGATCGACACTCTGGATTTCGTAAGGATCGATCGTGTACTGACCGAATTGCTACATTATGGATCATTGTGAAACAATCAATTGAATGGAACTCACCACTCTACATCAACTCCGCCGACTATCAGAAACCATTTGATAGCGTGGATAGGAAAATACTGTGGAGGCTTCTTCGACACTACGGTGTGCCTGAGAAGATAGTTAACATAATGCGGAATTCCTATGATGGATTGAACTGCGAAATCGTGCACGGAGGACAGCTAACAAACTTGTTCGAGGTGAAGATCGGTTGCTTGCTCTAATCATTTTTCTTTCTCCTGGGGATTAACTGAATTTTGAAGACTTCGACATCTGGAGGGAAGCATGGTAGCAAATTGACAGTTAGGACGCAGCTGATTGATCTGAATTTCGCAGATGACCTGCCTCTTCTATCGCACACGCAACAACAAATGCAATGGAAGATGACCAGTGTAGCAGCAGTCTCTCCAGCATTGGGTCTCAAAATCCATAAATGTAATTGCAAAATTATCCGATGCGACACAACAAGCACCAACAAAATCAATCTTGATGGAGATGACTTGAGGGATGGTTACACTTTTACATATCCGAGCAGCATAATCGATAACCAATGTGGATCCAATGCAGATGTGAGGGCGCGGATCGGCGAAGCAAAAGTTGAATTTCTACAACTGAAAAATATCTGGAACTCCAAACAAATACCAATCAAGACGAAGATCAGGATTTCCAATACAAATGTGAAGACAATATACTTTATTGAACGGATACTTATATAACTACGAAAGCCATCATCCAGAGGATACAGGAGTTTAATAACAGTTGTCTTGTCAAAAAACGTCGGATTGTTTGTCCAGACACTCTCGGCAGCGAATTACGTTGAGAGAGAACAAACCAGATAACAGTAGAAGAGGAAATCAGGAAGAAGGAGTGTAAGTGGATAGGACGCAAACTGCCAAATTTACCAAACTACGTCACACGACAAACCCTAAATCCGGACAATCAGTTATAGAGACATGCACTGCCGAGAGACAGACTATGACAAAATAAGCAAAAGGTGAAATGAATTGAAAAAGAAAGATGAGGGCAGAGTTGGTTGGAAGAAATTGGTCAGAGTGGAATGCGACATTAGGGATAACAACAGCAGTAAACAAGGTAGGTATATAAGTAGCTGCAGTGAAATTATTAGCGCATAATTTGCAGTGTTCAGTAGAACAACAACCCTTGATTCTGCTGACATGAAATAATAAGGGATCCGATTATTAACATGGATTACTGTTTTCATTGACGACGAAATCCTAGAAAATATGAAACTCGGAATAATTGTTATAGATTTGATAATTCACTTAGCGGGATTCTGATCTGCGAAATTAGATCCGTGCCCTGTAGTTCCACGTCATCTTATTTCGTCGGACCTGAACACGAGTTTTGTGACGAACATTGTGTATTTGCAGGAGCAACTATTTATATTGAAAAACAATCTGCGACAAGAGAAAGCTGAATAGATGTGGACCGAATTGGAGAGAAACTATCGTAATCTAACTGCGATCAATCAGTGAAGAATTGTTTATCCACACTGTATGGTTGAACACTTCCGTCAATTTGAAATGATGAAGATTCGACTGACCACATTCGAATTTTGTTCGATGTGGCAATAATAAAACAGGATGAATAGAGCCAGTTCGGTAAAGTGTCAAACAAGTTACTGTCTCCGGGCTTCGGTTTCGGCATTCCACTTGCAGCTGGTGGCTTTTAAGCAAGTAGTAAAAAATGCTAATTTTCATAACTCTGATGGTGGAGTAATTGACAGAAAGAGTGAACAATGACAAGTGCTCTTGATATGACGAATTAAGGTTAACGAGTCTGAGTAGCGTTTCATTTCGATTTCATTCAATGCTCTCAGCAGTCAATCACATCCTTACAGATATTCCAAACACGTTGTTTGTTCGAAATTCAGTTAGTTTTAGCTGAATGCTAGATGAAATGGCCTCCAAATGTTATTGTTTCTTACTGGTGCTTTTGATGACACTTTAATACTGCGACAATACGGAGCATTACCACTTTGGTTAGATCAGAGAATCTGTAAAGTTAGTAATGATTGAAATCATAGACCACAGAATAGAAATGGACATGTTACATTTTCTGAGATTATTATTTCAATATTTTGTTCTTGTTCAATTGAAAACGCAAATAACTGAAATGGAAATATTCGTTTTTTCTTATTGTGCTTTCAGCGGAAACGCTAACTCATTACGAAATACAAATGTACATTTCACTAAAGCGAATTGAACTTTGAAATGACGCCATTCATGTAAAGTCAATAAAGCTAGGTAAAGCATTGCATTTTATCGCAAACGGAACATATTCTTACTTTGCTTTTGGCCTTGAGGTTTGTCTAGAAAAATGAGTATACAAAAATGAAAAGTTAAAACGATGAACCCTCTCATCTGTGACTATGTCTGCACTAAAGCCGGTTCAACTGCACACAAACAATTGACAACCACACACAGATAATGCTACTCATCAGAAATTTTGTTTGATTTATCAATGGTGAACTCATTTCGCGTATTCAGGGAAATATATAAAAATAAACATGGATCGAGATTTTGATGAATGCAGATTTTGAAAACATTGACGATAATGAATTTTCAGCGAAATATAAGTGTATAAACATTTAAGTTTGCACAAATGAAAACTCGTGAGTACCAAAATCCATTTGCCTTTGTGTTATATGACCAATCCGTGCTCATCTCCAAATCCACTCACCTTAATTGATCGCTGTACATTCGGTCGCATGTGCTAACATCTAAACTTACGAACGCTGATTCTGTGTAAAACCGTCTCATTCTGTGACTCAAACAAATAATCGAAATGTCAAAAATTTTCAAATCTAAACACTTACTAGTCTTCGATCCACTTCTATTCGGTTTGGCACGTACTTCTGAAAGATGAGCGTGTAGTAAATATAAGTGAAATGTGTGGAACCCTTGATATGTGAATATCTCTTCACTGATGTCGACTCAGCGGAACCATAACGACCGATCGGTAGGCGTGAATTATGCTACTAGTCAAGCGGCACACCTGTGCATTTGTGCCAGCCCGTTGTGTGATTAGGAAGTAATCACTCGCTGTCGCAATGGTATGAATGACAGAATGATGTCGTCGTCGACCTTGGTAGGTCGTCAATGAGTGAGTGTAACAAATGATTGAAAACCGATACTATAACTCAATCTGATTGCAAACAACGTTCAAATTGGTGTTAAAATGTATGAACTGCATAACCTGCCGTATCAGCAATCAGGAAATCGTTTTTTTTAAAGAACAGATATGTCTGGTATGAGTAATCAGGTAACTGTGCCTATAATTCTTCATCATTGATTTAGTAATTTTCTTTGCATTATTACGATTTATTTACTGAGATCGATGCAGTGAAATTCCACAAATAGATTTAAAAGAAATAAAACGTCCGTTGGTTCACTTACTTTTCTGTTTCTCTTTTCTGGGAGGCTGACTGCCTGATTCTGCATCGCAAGAGAAGGTGAGGAGTGAATAAGGATAACGGGTGATATGCAAGGGCATGTAATCTTATTTCGTCGGACCTGAACACGAGTTTTGTGACGAACATTGTGTATTTGCAGGAGCAACTATTTATATTGAAAAACAATCTGCGACAAGAGAAAGCTGAATAGATGTGGACCGAATTGGAGAGAAACTATCGTAATCTAACTGCGATCAATCAGTGAAGAATTGTTTATCCACACTGTATGATTGAACACTTCCGTCAATTTGAAATGATGAAGATTCGACTGACCACATTCGAATTTTGTTCGATGTGGCAATAATAAAACAGGATGAATAGAACCCGTTCAGTAAAGTGTCAAACAAGTTACTGTCTCCGGGCTTCGGTTTCGGCATTCCACTTGCAGCTGGTGGCTTTTAAGCAAGTAGTAAAAGATGCAAACTTTCATGAATCTGATGATGAAGTGATTAGCCTTTAGATTGAAAATTGCTGTTTCTGTGGATGTCACAAAATAATATTTACGAATCTGTGTATCATTTCTGGTTTCTTTTTTTTCCTTTGCATTAATATTACATTTTTGTCATAATTTTTGTTCAATTTTTCTTACATATGTACTCTCATCTACTAACGGAGTTTATTTACGACATCTTGGAAACGATCATAAATCTTTTCATATCATGTTTCAAACAAGAATAACATTTCATGTCGTTGAATCAACCTGAATTACCTGTTCCACTGGTCTTTTTCTCGTTTGTCAATTTTGTCACTGTTTTCTTTTCAGCCATCTCCTCTGTATTTTTAGCCTGTGGCAGTGTTATTTCCTTCGTTTTTGTTTGTTGACTTCCGCTCACAAGCGTTGAATTCTCTGTTACAGTTTCTGAAACGAATATAGTCTCAGTATAAGTTAAGAATATTCAGTAATGGTGATTATAATTAATACACGTTTATAGGAGTCATAATGATGCAAAATGAGCTTAATCAACGGCAGGAAACAACTCCATCATTATTGAACACGTTGCATTCATCCAAATGTAAATCCACTAAATTGTCTACTGATGTATGATTATTAATAATATACAGATATCACATGTACATTGCTTACGAGTTATCGGTGATCGGTCTTCAAGGATAGTCGCTTCAGTTTTTATGACTTTTGTGGTGGTAATTTCAGCAATCTTTTCATTCACGATTTTCTGTTCATTCGTCAATTCCGTTTTTGTCGGCTGTTGTCCACTTATTTCTCTAGTGTTCGTTTCTTGTGCTGGATTTCCTGAAATTTCAAACGAATGTTTACAAGATCAACTTGATAATTTTCAAATCCGGTTGATAACTCTAACAACTTCACGTCTGTGTTTCTACTAAACGAGTGTTCGTCGGATATAAATTATGAATCATTTTTCGCAATACATAATGAAAGATTAATATTACAGTTAATACGATATGTATTTCATCATTCTCACCTTTCCTGAAGCATTTATTAAGGTGGATGTATTCTAACACTTAAAATTCAACAAACAAAAACCGTCAAGTTAATTTTGATATCGGTCAAAGTGTCATTTAGGTTAATCATGAACATAAACGAATGATCTAAGCAAACAATCTGATACTCACAGTCATCTGGTACTTCGAGTTCTGTAATAATGAAGACATTTCCATATGAGACGCACGGAATCATATTCATATATCATCAGTGATGCAAAATAGATAAATCAAAAACAAAGCGAAACAGATCGTTTACTGTCAAACACGTTTCAGTTTTCATGACTTTTGTGGTTGTAATGTCAGCAATCTTTTCATTCAAGATTTTCTGTTCATTCGTCAATTCTGTTTTTGTCGGCTGTTGTCCACTTATTTCTCTAGTGTTCGTTTCTTGTGCTGGATTTCCTGAAATTTCAAACGAATGTTTACAAGATCAACTTGATAATTTTCAAATCCGGTTGTTAACTCTAACAACTTCACGTCTGTATTTCTACTAAACGAGTGTTCGTCGGATATAAATTATGAATCATTTTTCGCAATACATAATGAAAGATTAATATTACAGTTAATACGATATGTATTTCATCATTCTCACCTTTCCTGAAGCATTTATTAAGGTGGATGTATTCTAACACTTAAAATTCAACAAACAAAAACCGTCAAGTAATTTTTGATATCAGTCAAAGTGTCATTTAGGTTAATCATGAACATAAACGAATGATCTAAGCAAACAATCTGATACTCACAGTCATCTGGTACTTCGAGTTCTGTAATAATGAAGACATTTCCATATGAGGCGCACGGAATCATTTTCATATATCATCAGTGATGCAAAATAGGTAAATCAAAAACAAAGCGAAACAGATCTTTTACTGTCAAACACGTCGCATTCATCCAAATGTAAACCCACTAAATTGTCTACTGATGAATGATTAATAATAATATACAGATATCACATGTACATTGCTTACGAGTTATCAGTGATCGGTCTTCAGGGATAGTCGCTTCAGTTTTCATGACTTTTGTGGTTGTAATGTCAGCAATCTTTTCATTCAAGATTTTCTGTTCATTCGTCAATTCCGTTTTTGTCGGCTGTTGTCCACTTATTTCTTTAGCGTTCGCTTGTTGATCTGCCGTCTCTGTTGTCACATTATCAGATGAACTATCTATAAAATTCCATCATTACAATAATAGTTGAGACATCGAATTCTTTATATTTGACAACTGTACATTTTACTGACGCAATTGATCGACCTTTCATCTGCATCTCTTACACTCAAGAACTAATTTTGTTTCGTCTTGTTCATTTGATTCGACTTGGTTATCTGCATGTCAAATTTGATCTTATCAATCTGTTTATTCAATGCTATATGTTGTAACTGATTGTCAGGTATAAAAATGAATCGGACCCTAATGCACAACATTTGTATATAGTTTAATTAACTGACGTTTTTTGTATGTCTCACTAATATCGAAATAATTTTTCAATTTTATTCCGTGTTGTTCTTTATGTTTACTATATACCATGATAAACCTGTATCTGATTTGACTCAAAGTCCACTTTGCTCATAGGTTTCTTGTGTTCGTTTGATTACATAGGTAAGAATTTCAGCTTAAAGAATAATGAATAACATTTTAAACAATATTTAACTTACATATACATTTACAATTAACCAGAACTCCGGAAATCGCTGTAATGGCAAGGAAAAACAAGAAATTTTTCATATTTATTCACGTAAATGAGTTATCACAGAGTTATCGCAGTCAAAACCTGTTCGGTTATATATATCATTTCTGAACAGTTGTACGTGTTTATAACAGCCTCTGTGTCAATAAACTAACCAATTGACATGAAAATGAAGATTTGTAGGCTGACAGGCAACCAGTGATGGTTTTTTAGTAGTTAGGGGTGTCAATTCTATTATTATTTTGATAGTATCAGCAAGTAGTAATAATACTTATCGTTGTGATAGTATACACTGTGCATTATGAAGTAGTGAAAATGCAAAGTTACGGGTAAGCTAAATGAACAGCGTGTGCCATCTTTAGCTTCATTTGCTGCCTAAAACACCTCATTTTCCATGTTGAATACGCTAACACTAATCAAATTAAGCTTACAGATTTTAATCCAATTCTAATCACAATTGTTGATCAGTCTAAGAAGAAAACCATTTATTACCAACTATCATTTAAATGAGTTTCAAAACTGAACTTTCGTTTGATATTACCTCGAATCCTGATTCAAATTAGAGAATTTATCCATAGCGTAAACTGATGTGCTTGATTTGATGAATTTTGGGTAACTTATGAAACACGTAGATAAAGTGTGATAAAAGTCATTCTGAACGCTTTTTATTGAAATATCAAAAAATACATAGAAACGAAATAATGCATCTCTTACGCTCCTTCTTCAAACAAGGTTTTCAGGTAAACGCTGAAAACAACAAGCTGCTGGCTGGTGGTATTTATTTCCAGTTAGCCATATAAATGTAAGCCTGTTTTGTCTTCCATTCATATGGTTCTGAACCCGTGTTCGACTCCTGGAACGTACGGTAGCTGAGTACTCAAACAAATGCTTTGTTCAGTTTATTTATTTCCTGTTTCTGCAAGATTGGTGAATATGCTCTTCAATGTATTTTAGTATCTCATTAAAAAGAAGCGTCTGATCTAACCACCGTAAATACGTTTTTAAGAAACTATCATTGAAATCTTAGATCTTACAGGTTTGCGACTATTGACGATGACCAGTTATCCAGTAGCAGGCATGTAACGTTCAAAAACTGCTACAGTGTATTCGAATGCATATAATATCGTTGTAATTACTAATGTTAGTAATTTGTGAGTTTGTTACCCGAAGTAAATATACCGATCAAACCGAGCTCTCATAACGGTCAATTTACTGAAATAAAATGCTCACTTCCTGTATTGTCATAACAACCATCGTCACTTGGGTAGAATGAATCGTGACAATAATACAGTGTATATCTCCGCCAAAGTTTACGCCAGAAAATGATGAGTTTATTCAGTGAAACACAATGTGTAAAATGTTAAATAGCTTTTTTGATGTGTATGACGCTCTTTGTTTGACAGGTCGTACAAATATAACGTGAAAGTCTTACTGTCTCACAAATAACAAACTGACTATCTGATACAATTTTTTCGAAGTTGATGAGTTCGACAGAATGTTAAAACAGAAACAATAATTAGAATATGTTGATCGATGTAATAAAAAACTCCGTTTTATCTTAAGGATGAGTTTTCCTTCACAGTTCAGTATTGCAACAATGCTTTAATTCCGTTGCAAAGAAGTACTAAATAGTTAGGCTAGATATTTATTCTAAATAGAAATATAAGTTAATGCCCGTGGATGATATTACTGCATAAAATTAGAAACAGCTTTGCAGAAGCATCATCCAGTTCAACTAATCACATTTCTCGAGTACATTTGACATAATACTTAAAACATCAAGTCATTTAGGATTTTTAGTTATCTCATTATATTGCAACTATCCTGAAGACGCTTTTTATCAACTGAATGAATTCAAGTCATTGTTGCTCATACTCATCGTCCATAGTGATTATAATGCGGCGCATAATATTAGAATAAGTCAGAATAGAATCTCGTTACTTTGCAAACAATACTACAGCAAACTAAACTTTCCTCCAGTTCTGAGGTGTATCGCTGTACTGACCTTACAACAGACATTGATACCATTATAATTACATTTTGCTGAGCATTTGACTATAATATCTCTCCACGTACATCAAAGTGTTTGAGCTGACACTAATATTCATCCTGTTCTGTCAACCAACAATATTCTTTTAGTTTTATTTGTATCGAATTTAGTCGTTCTAAATGATATTTTAATGAATTGAATACAGTTGAAGGCAGTTTCTTGAAACAGAATAAGTTTATGAAGGTTGGTTTGCAGAAGATCACTTACGCTTAGCATTTTGCCCTTTTTGCACTCATTTTCTGAGCACCGTAGCTCAGTGCCGATACAGTTACAAAATGAATGAATGATTGCAAGTAACGATTTTATAAGCTACGTAAATTATGATATAAGACAAACAAGGATTTCATTGTCGACTGCATGGTAATGAGCAAAAGCGAAATTGAATGATAAAGGCGAACTTCAACTTAAAACTACTAAATGTGAAGGAGAAAGAAACTAAAGAAACCAAAACATACTTACGAGAGCACTGAGTAGAATTGGAAACGCAAAGCACGCATGTACTTAACATGATAAACATGTTGTGATCAAGTGTGTTAATGTGCATATTTATTTAATAGATATAAATCTCAAAATTTGAGATAACTATTGTCGGTCGGAATTCAATTTTCATGGAATAACCATCTAACTTGTGACGCTTTCACTGGTATTTTAGTAAAATCTACTTGATTGGAATTACTTTAGTAAATCTCCTCCGTATTCATTTGGATTGAAGAAAGAGCTTCCTAGAACCCGTAACAGAATCATTTACTAGCGACTTATCAGGCTGATACTTATAATCAATCATGCCGATTCGATGAACAGTAGTTCTCTCCTTTGAACTTTTTGTATGATTTCTCATGGACCCAATTACAAATGAATTAGATAATCGACGGCAGTCTATGTGACGTACTCAAAAAAACTTATTAAAGTTTAGAGTATGTTGACTAGATACCATTGGTTGAATTTATTAGTTCCCATTTACTGATTAAATGAGGTATCCGAAATTCAAGAAATTTATAATATTTAAAGTTTATTTTACTATCTGAGTTAGAAAGCTGATTGGAACAAGCAGAAAAAAAGCACTTGCATAACACTGAATATCTATTTAACAAGGTTGTGAGCTTCTCAGCGTAGTATGAGCAGCAATAAAATATAGAAAATAGATGTGGATGGGTGAAGCAGAGGTAGGAGAAAGAAGATAAATTTTTGTTTATCGTGACCAAAATTCCAAATAAAATAGAATGGTTTGAGAAAAACTATAATAATTATACCAATAAATGTCTGTATATTTGTTTCTATCGTATGATAACCATAAAGAAACGGTGTCTCATAGTTAGCCACACTCTGGCTGATTCGACAATAAAGGAATATCAGCATTGAATTGCAAATATAAGTATCAAAAACGAATAGCGAGTGAAAACAACATTTGAATGACGAAGAAATCAGATAACTGAAATACGAGGTTCTGTATTAGGAAAATGAAATTTTGAAAGGTATTATGAGCTTGAAGGCGCAATCAATAAAAATCTGTTCTTTGGAGAAAGCCGAAATTTGTACGGGCTGTGCGAATGATATCCACTGGAAAGGAAACAGTACATGCAGACAAAATAGGTAGAAGAAAACAATGTTTGCAACGTAAATATCTGTAAACAGGTGTCAGTTATGCAGAAAACCTTAACAGTTATAGAAATTCGCCTACAGCAGAAATCTTTTTTTCTCTAACCAGGTACAACAGAAACGGCAAACACAAAATAGAAAGGAACTGTTGCAATAATCGATCGTTGAAGAAAAACCATGTGCTTCTCAATCATAAAACACTCAACTGAAGAAGAAGTGTTCATGTTTCTACATTTCATACCACTGAAATTACAACAACTTAACATTTTACCTCTACTACTGCTAAAAATACTACTCTTAGTGATGAATATACTACCTGGTTCGTAAAAATTATGTGGCAATTATTTGATATGAACCTTAATGTTGCTCAGTGATTACCGCTGGCAAATGGTTTGTCTAATCTGAAATACGTGCACACCGAGACTACGATCTGTGGAGCAGGACAGCTGATACTTCAACTTTGTTCAAAATTGCAGAGGTAAATATGGCTGAACTATGAAATCGTGCGTAAATGAACGTGTCACTGATGGTAGATCCTCAGAGCTCGCCTGAATAGTGTCTTAATTCTGGATTTATTTCATGAGCCTATCCGTTGACCTTGAGATCACATTTCTCACCAAAACAATTCCTGGCTGAAATTGGTTACTGTTTGTGACATTTCTGTGACTGTCCCAAGGAATTCTCTTTGGAGAATAAATAAACGAAATCTCAGTGCTTGGGTTCATTATGCGCTGGATGCTTTTAGAATTCACATTATACGCTATAACAATACGTCCCTCCGGTACAGTTGGGAAAATCGGATCACAATGCCATACCCGGACGCTGGTTCATTGTTTTGTTCTCGTTATTCAACTAGGCTGAACGTATTTCGGATTTGGTACTTAAGAAATAAGTTTGTCTTACCTGATTTTCTCAGAAATGTGTAAATCAGGCCATTTTTGATTAAAAACGACTGAATACCAGATGAAAACAAAAGGAAAGTGTCCAGGTCAGCATAATAATCAAAAGATTAAAAAATTTGAAAAAAATGAATGTACGTTATGCAATAGATAATTAACGCAATTTTTAAAGATTGTGGTAGACAAAAGAATAACGAAGTAGAAGAGAAATTCTGATTCTCACCTAATATGCGTACTTAAAAAATGCGTAACCTACGTATTTCGCAGAGAGATTATTACATTAAAAAATAATAAAAAACTAACAACATTCTACAAATTTTTATGTTAATTAACAAACGAAATTTGATATGTTCTATAGAAATTACCACAATATTGTTGACTTGTTTTGTGTTATTATGTTTCATACTTATTTCGCCTCAGGAATTACTCTTTCTTATCTACAGCTTACGAGGAACTTATTTAAAAAGGATAGACTTGTAGACGGATTTCATGG